GGGGGGGGGGGGGGGGGGGAGGGGGGGAGCTCAGAGCATTTTTCTTTCCTGATGGTTCTGTTTCCAGATAATCATCGCCTCCAAACAATACAAATAGTAGAGCAACTTTCAATTTCGCTTGGGTCACATATTAAAAGTCATGGTCGCTTGAAGCATAGAAACCAGATGTGCAAGGATTGAGGTGGGGAGGGTAACCATCAGTCGAGAACGGCGTGTGGAACGCGGGATGAACCCGCCTGTGGTTGTCATGCTCTACCAATGAGGTCGGCTAGTGATATAGAAAGAAAACAACCGGTGGTGGAAGCGCCGCAGGTGGGGACCTACCGACCCGACTGGTTGCGGTGATATCAACTCTACTTCTGCGACTTCCAGATGGTTTGAAGAATGATCTGCTTCAGTGTGATGCACGCAACAACGCGACCGCGGCATAGAAGCAGTAGAGCGCGTATTTTTTAGCGGTCCACTACAAAATAATGGCATGGGAGTTGTATCAGGGCCTTCTTTTGCAGGAGGGGCCGTACCTGTGCCATTTTAACCTTCGACATGGTGTGCCAAGCCTGAAAACTAGGTGCTAAGAAAAAAAATCATAGCGAGATTTTCAAAATAATCTGTTTCGATCAGGGGCCAACGGACTATGAAGACCCAAGGATCGCTGATCATAACAGAGTCCAGCGTTGAGTAGCACATATTCTACGCACACTGCTGGGATGACCACAACCATTACCTTACTAATACTAGTCCGACAACAGAGACATTAGGCTATTTGAAAAGATGGACATGTCAGAATTAATTGCTCTCCCACACTGACAGCGTAGCTAATCTCTGGTAAAACAGTTGGTCCCCGTTGCGGTGTCAGTCAGTAGCAAGAAAAAGCTTGTTGTTGAGCTGTCGAGCTGATCGCCTGCAAATCCGGAACCCATGGAACCGGGACCACTCTATTTCGGAAATCTATGATGTCCTATGTACCTCAGTTAGCAGAACTCGTGCTCGTTACTCAGCTTGGCTATCAAACCTGAAGTCATGGATTCACAGAAAAACAAAGAAAGATCACCGTAAATAGGAAGTGAGGAGGTGGTGCCTTGAGAGACGGTCAAGACTATCGCAGTTAGCCGCTCTGACGCGCGTGGCGATTTCCTTAATTAACAGTAGTCTGTCGACCGGAGCACTGTACTTCATGAGGATACGATATTGTAGACATTTATGGCCACTTTCGCTCATACATTGTCTATTTTGTCCATTTATGATCCAGAAAAACACAGTTATTAGGAGGTGCGATCGCACGCGACGCCCTGCCTGCGCGGCAAATTACGATTGTCTTGCCACATGCCCTCGTGCCTCATATAAGAACTGTATACCGACTGTAATCCCTTAATTCAGCGGTGTGACGACAATCATAGAGGAGAAAATCCTAATTAGATGACATGACATATTGCAGCACTGCCACGTAGAAACATTAGGTCCTGGCACGAATACCGCCATTGATAGAGTCTGGGTGTGGGCCATATGGCGCGACCACATCGCCACTGGCGTGCCAAGTTACGTCATGCGATGCGACTTCGCGGTCGGACAAATCAAAACACACAAGCAGTAGACTTCCCGGGAAACGGACAAGACAGCCGTGTCACGTCGCCGCGCGCGCGAAACTCATATGTCGAGCGAAGACAGGGTTCGATAATGGGTGATATCAAAGTTTTAATTCCTTTGACACTCATATTGAAGCAGCCATGCAAGAGAACTCGTCCGTCGCACGCGTCGTCGCTCGCCACGCCTACCAGAGCAGTGTGATATGATTGTCTTGTCACATGTACGGAAGATCCCCCATAATCAGGAGACACCCAAGTGAGAAGTGGCACTCACAGCGCCAACTAGAATAGCTTCATGTTGACTGCCAATGATGACATTCCAGTACTTCAGTGATCCGGACGAGTTGTCCGAGTTGCGATACACGACGTCACATTTCCTACTACGGCACGTCAGTAACGATCTCATTGCTTCACATGACCTTCGCAACATTTCCGTTGCTGCCCCTGCGTCATGAAACCAACAAGCTAACAGTGTTATCTCCTCGAAACAGAAGCCAACATTTCCAGGCGAGTAAACAACTTTATTAGACAAATTGAGAACTAATTATGAAAATATGAAAACTAACATGAACAATTTGATCTAAATATGAAGTGTCGAAAAAATACCTATTTACAGATTTCTTCAATCATACAATGCATTGATGAAGAAAGATAAAATTTTGACGATTTCATATCATTCACAATAGAACAAACCACAACTCAAGACTGCAGTAATTGTTTCACGCAGTGACCGTAGTTTATAGTATAATTTCGAAACGCGGTTCTTTGAAGAGCAGCACATTGGTGCTGCTAACTAATTTACAGATTATGAACCCTACAAATAGGGTTCAATTATCGAACAAATGATGCAACCATGATCTCTTATAATTGCCTATAAACCAATGTCCAATACAGTTCGCTGATGGTTTGACGAAATTTAAGGTTTGAGGGACAAATTATATGGTACAGTGACACCCAATAGGGTCAGGGGTATGGATTATGAGAAGTTTGCAACCTTCGAAGATTAATGTAGAAATGAAAGAATACCACTAGCTCCAAGTCGCCGACTGCGCACACGCTAGCAGTGTTTCCTAGCTAGTTGACTTGATACGAGGGTGGATTCATTAGGTCCTGGCGCGGATGCTGCGCACGTGACGCGTCTCCTTTGCCGTGACTCGGATACTATAGCAAAGTGTAGCTTGTAAAAAATAGAAATCTTTGCAGGTGAGTAAAATTGCACTACAAATTACAAAATCATCATAACTTCTTGTGAACAGATACCATATATAAGAACGTGAAGTAAAAAGGAAAACAAATGAGGAAAAAATGCAAAATACCATAATAAATCCATGAACCTGTATGAACAGAGCGACGAAACAGTTTTGGTTGCACTGAAGAAGTCCGATTTGGCCTTCTCACCAAAAGTAAAGACTGTGGTAATAGTAAAGACATCATACAAGGCTCAAAAGACTTCCTCTCCATCAGCACATTCAGCTGTGTACGAACTTGCCATAGGCTGTACTTCGTCGCTGGGCGGTCTAAAATTACGAAAAACCTTTTCACAGGTAACAGGTATCACGTCCACTAACCAGTAAGTAGCTCGAATACACAACTTACTTCATATCGCGTACTGGGAGGAACCTAGTGCGTTTCTGATTAGCTTCCATATCAGATACAATCTCATTACCATCTGACCCGTTATGGTCCAGACTATGATCCATGTCTGGAGAGTAAGACTCTGAGTAAAGAGATGCTGGTTGACGGACTTATGACGGTGAAAAAAATCAGGTATAAATCTTGAAACTAATATAAATCGAAAGCGAACCTAGATGCCTTCCCTTATCGAACTTTCCGCCTTCACCTCGAACACGAGCAAGTGCATGCTGGTGACGCGATTCATGGAGGTACTTCTGAAATGTAAATCATTTCCGAAAAATATGACACTTATGACTATAGAAGTGGCTCCGAGAGCTAAGATAAGGCTGCATTAGGCAGCGTTCAGACGCGCGTTGACGCGCTGCAATTGCAACAGCTCTCCAATACTATAATCGCGAACGCAGCCGTAGACGGGAATCGATCGGGGTCGACCGCTTGCACTTTGAGAGAGCGTATAGGATAACAGGAGGACAGGCGCTGCCTTCATACACTCTGCTATTCTCTCACCCTTCTATACTCTCCCAACGCCGTAACGGCCAGTGGAGATCGAAATTAGACTGCGTGATCAGGCAACGGGTACTCTTCTGTTCCACCATACTCTCTCAAAACACAAGCGGCCGGCACCGATCAATTCCAGTCCGTGGCTGCATTCGCGTCTATAGCAATGGAGCTGCAACGCTGTTGCAGTTGTAGCTTGTCGACGGCATGGCTAAGTCTACGCTGCCTCAACACAATGTGAATGAGGAGAAATAACGAATTGGGAGAACCAGCAATCCGTTGATATACTCAAAGAAAGAACATTCCATGTCGAGGGACAAAAAGGAGCATGGCGACGGTCGCGTATTCCCTGGCCGACTCGTATACACCCTCCCCCTTATATAAACATCTCTCTATCCCGTCTGGGCTCTCCACTGGTACCTCTGTGCCTCTTTTTCTGTCTGGATTCTTCCTCTTTCATCTGCGTCTCCGCCTTTCTCCTCGTCCGGACTCTCCTCACTTTCACCTATGTCTCTGTTTCTGTTCTGCCTGTATTCTTCATA